GAAAAAGGTTAAGTAGAGCATGCGTTGGCGTAAAAAGTTATCACGGATTAAGTAGACACATCCGCGCGTTTTGTTTTCCATCATTACATACCAACATCTATCCATACGTATATTATATATATACACCAACCACAAACTGATGAACTTTTATTTTCCCTGTTTTTATGACAGAACCTATGCTGCCATGTTCGTCTGTACTGCAGCAGCACATGTGCCGGCGCATTAAAATAAAGTTTGAAAGCATTTGAATTGCGGCAGTGATGGCACACGGAACCCTGACTATCCAACAACGTCACAAATAGCATTTTAAAAATGATGCAAAAGTGTAGGACAAACAAGTGAGAATGTAAAAGAAATACAAAAATGAATGAGAGCTGACCCCGCTGTGTGCTAAAACGTCGAATTGACGAGGCGTTGTTGTCCGATGTGTTTAATGCGACAGCAGTTGTTGCTGAGAAGGATAATAATCATCACTATCATCATCAGGCAGCCATATTCACAGGCGGACACATCAAATGCCAGCCTAACGCTGACGCTCATTCAAGGCACAATTCTCTCTTCCTTTGCTGCCCCTCTTTCTTTGCTGCCCCTCTATGCATGCACCCAATCAACGATATTCGCAGGCGGCTTTGCGTTGGGCGCGTTGTGTCGCATTCACGCCTCGAAGTTGAGAAAAGGCGATGTTGTTGATTGCTTGCTTTTCTGGCTCTTCATATTCTTCTTCCTTCAAATTCGCAGTTTGTGTACAATATTTACTGTTACAGCTATGAGTGACAACAACATCTCGCCGCAGGCTGACGTGTTGAAGAAGTGACAAGTTGGGGGAGAAGTGTTTATGTGTGCTAAAGATGTGGTTATAAATGCACACACAAATGTATACACACACACACACACACAGACACGCAAGCGATGCTATGAGTATATACTTAGCAATGTATGTATATATATATTGTATGATGTAATACATATGTGCTTAGATATACTCGTAAAATATTTGTTGTTCTCTGTTTGACTTTTGTACGCGCCAATTTGTTATTTGTTGCTTTTTAATGACAAACAATAGCAACAAAAATACCCTTAGTGACATACATACGTGTATATGCCTACATGTCAAATCGTTGTGATAAAAACAAGCTTTTATGCAAAACTAAATATATCTCGCAACGATTGAAGTACGGTGCGAGACGAAGGATACATGACAAGAAGCGGTTGAAGGAGGGGAAGGAGGTGCTTACAATTTTTAGCCGGCGAGGGCCATTCAGAGCAACTTTTTTAAATGCAGGTTTCGAAAACTCAACGAAAATTAGTTTCATCTATTTCCGAATTAAATTATATCTAATGAAAATGTTTTGAAAAAGACGAGTTCGGTTAATTTTGAAACGAAGGATAATAAATATTTTTCAAAGCTTTTGAAAAGTTAACCAAACAATCTAAGCCCGTAGAATTTTGGAACTCTCCTCTCGTGTCTCCAATAAGAGGTGTTAGTTTGGCTTCACCTTTTAATTGGATTGTATTGGATTTCACCTTTGGAGCTGTAACTTTTCGGTATTTGACATACTTAGGTCAGGAACGTAATACAAATGGAACGATACACGTTTTAACAACGCATTGAAATTATAAAAATTTACTAACAACAAAATGGTGGAAACATGGTACTGCAGTACAGAAATTGGTGGCACAAATTGAGCTGCTGGAAAAGATACTGTTGTAAATAGTAAAGCACGTGCACGTCGCTTAAGAATAGTTGAGAACATTGCTGTAGCCCAAACTGTTAAAGAAAGCACAGACTTGTCCATTCCACGTCGCTCCTTGGAATTGAGCATTCCCCAAATGTCACCACACCGTATTTTGCACTACTGGCCTTGGCTCTTAAGCCAGTACAGTTAACACAAAAACTCAAGCCGGCCGATCATTAACAAAGTCGTGTATTGCATTCTTGAAATGAATGAAAACTAACCGAATTTCTTCGAAAAATCATCTGGACTGTTGAAGTCCATTTTCACGTCGATGGCTATGACAATAAGTAAAACTGTCGCATCTGGGCTCAAAAACCCCCATATTTATTGTTGAAGAGCCTCTCCAATCCTCAAAGTATAGCGATTTGGAGCGGTTTATGGTCCGGCGACGTCACTGAACCTTACTTTTTCGAAAATGAGACTGGAGAATGGAATGCGCCATTGAGAGGTAATAAAAGGTTTTCTATGGCAGGAATGAGATGGTATTGATCTGGGCAACGTTTGCATTTAACAAGACGGCGCTGCGTGCCACACCAGCAACGAAACCATCGATTTCAAAGGTATGTTCGCAATTGGAATTCGCAAAGAGGGTATTTTTGAAGCTACCAGCTTCATTTGTAAAAGTGCACTGAGTGGTTTCAAGCTGCATACATACCTGTATATAATATTTGTGGCTTGCGATGTACAGATACTCGTTAAATGTATGTCAACAGTTTTAAATACATACAAACGTATGCACACTTAGCTAAATGCAATGGTAGGAGGTATACGCGTGAGTTCTAAGCTGTCAACATAATGAGTTTGTTAATGTGTGCGATGTATGCCTTAAACAAAAAATTGAAATTTATTTGTTGTTTGGTTGTTTAACGGTATTTTAGTCGAATACTAGAGCAAGTGCGCAATGCAAGTTATACCGTAAATTATATATGCTTAATGTGTGATTCGTATTACTGGGTGGAGCCTTTCCAAATCCTTCTTACGACCAACACGTTCGTCTTTATCAAGCTTTCAGCCGAACATTCTTTATGGGCAAGAAGGTACCTTGGGCACAACACTCGAAGTCACTCGAAAAAATAGCGCCACCGTGATGAAATATGCCCGGATGGGTTAAGACAGTTCGAATTCGGTGGAATCCCACATAGTTACTTCTGTATCTGGGTCCTACTCGGAGAACTCGTAACCAAAAATCGACCATGCTGTGATATACTGACCTCATCTCTCCAGTTATTTGACAAGAACCCATCATCGACTCGGACCATTATCCAATAGCAGCAAGGATACGCAGCAAAGAACGTCTATTAACAAACACAAGAAATGCTCGACGTCGAGACCAGGAGTCTTGCTCTCAGAACAGGTAGGGGAGGTATTTCAAGCTCACATCGTACGGTAGCTATTGGTTTTTAACACAATGCAAAGTAGAGTTGGTTCAAAAATTATATGAAAAGATGTTCCGAAGGCGGAGCATAATCATAGAGAAACCAAAGAGTTAATCGGCTGGCTGAGGCTGAGGCTGAGGCTTAGAAATACTTCAGCAGGCTGCGGAACAGTAAAGAAAGCGGTCATCATAACTTCCATCGAAGGTAATGAAAAAATATACCTGACTATGAGGTAGATTAGAAAGCGGTTGAACCTTGAAGAAAAAAAATCGGCTACAAACGTGTGCTTGCCGGCTGAGCTCAATGAACAAAAAGTAGGACTCCACTATCTGCTCCAATTACCGTTGAAAAAGCCACCTTAATATCGCATATAAAGTCCTACATAGTGTATTGTGTAAAAGATTAAGGGGTGCGACTTTAGAACTGTTAAATCAACCATTGGACAGATATTCGACAATTTGAAGGTCGCTCTTGCCGCTATGTCTTAATTTGGTATCTCTGTAAACGAACAACAAGCAACAATAAACCTGTAGACTGGATAAGAAAGCGAAGCGCATGGGTCTCCTTATATAAAGAAAAGATTATGAGATCATACGCCCAAAACAAAGAATCAAACCCTTTAATGACCTAATGGTAAAAATTTCTCCTCCAACATTCTGTGTGACTAACTTCAAAGTATGCGTTGGTTATGAGAAGGTCAAGTCTGGGCAAGTAGGAATTTATTCCACTACAATATCTGAATCTTAAATACGCCAGTATTACGTGGAACTCTCGCAGCAGCTCAAGCTTTTCGTCTGCAAAAAGTGGTGGTTTGACTGGCAGAAAGTTCAGGAATATTCTGTCAGACTCTCAGTGAATGGCATTCAATGCTTGTCGATAAGCCGTCCTGTCCAGCGGCTGTAAGTGGTCCTGAATGCAGTCCTTATATTCGATTATTTTCTTTCAGATGTGCCTAGGCTATGGTGCGGCTTCTAATAAGTATCTACTCTCTATGGCAGCATCGCAGCAGAAATCGCTTACACAGCAAAGCATTATGCTTCGCCGTGCAGGTAATGTTCTGTCGGCATCAGGGGTTTTCCATCCTAGCACTGAGGACTTTGTTGTTTTGGCAGCGTTCTAGCGTCTTCAGCAGCGTCCAGATCGGTGCGAAACATCATACGCCTTAACTCATAGTCCGGAGCGCGTCCAGATCGGAGCAACATATTTTACGTCCTGCTTACCAATTCCCTTGTATGCTGCCAGCAGCATTTCTTTGTCTCTTCCCCAAGTGCTGACGGCTAACGTTTTGAAGATTTTGTTGCGGCTCCGGAGTTTTGCGACCATTGCTGTCGCATGCGGCGGGAAGGAGGGCAGACTAGCGAATGTGACTGCTAATAAATATGGGTTGTTTTTGTTGGAATTTTTATGCCACTGACTTTCATATCAAGTTAGAGCCAGTGTTCTTTCGTGTACCAGCTGGTGGAGAGAGTACCCAGTGAGTTGCCGGTTGTCTTGCAGTGAAGAAATGGGAAAGGTTCTCGAGTTAGCAATTCACTTTCGAGTACTATCGAGCAAACACTGACCGATAGAAGAGATCAATGAAACTCCTTACGGTCTATTTTTCAAAGATGCTTTTTGGTTAATTCGGTATATAAATTTTTGAAATTTAACCTTTATCAATTTTCCAAGACAGTGTAAAAGAACCCGGCAATTCTACTAAATAAAAGTTTACAGCAAAAAAAAATGCAAATGTTGAATGTCAGAAAAACACATCCATTTCTTCAGTTTCATCTAACTTGACGGTCTGTACATTGTACCTGTTTCAAATGTCATTTTCAAAGGAAGCGCATTAAGGATTAGAACAAAAAAGTAAAGATTTCGCTAAAAGTAAACTAAACTAATTAATTACTTTTTTTCTGCGCCTTCACAATCCAATCAATCGTACGCTTGTCTTGACTCACGCCAATCGCACACTGTGCCTCGGTTTGAAATAACTGTGTTCCACGCCTTATAGCTCGTCGAACATCCATAAAAGCTGTGTGGGTGTCTGCTTAAGGTGTTTGATTTTGTTTTTGTTATTTGTTTGCGCCTAAGCAGTTTCTAAATTTGTTTGGTACTATTTTTTTTTTAAATTTATTATTTAAGTTGGCACGCGTAACCGTTAGTTGGCGCCAGCAGCTTAATGGTTGTTGGAATTATTTTTGGGCAAAACTTTTACAACAATTACACACAAAACTTTGCCCATCATATTTTCAATTGCTTTCTTTTCCTCATTAGTTGCATGTGTATATATGTATTTATATATATATATATTAAATATATTTATATATATGAATGTATGTGTATGTATTTGTATGTCTCTATTAAATTAAGAGATCGTTAGCCTTTTTTTCTTTAGCTATAAATATCCTTGGCATTATTTTTTTTTTTTGTTGCCTCTTTTAAGCCGACACCGTCACGTGTTTGCCTTTTTAGTACCTTACGTTCCGTTTTTCTCAATTATTTGTTTCTATTATGTTTGTAAGAAGTTTTTTTTTATATTTAGGCTCTAATTAAAATGCCACAATGTGACCGATATAAGAGCTAAGCTCTGAGTGTTCTCCCGTGAGTTGCCATTACGCGGCGCGTAACACAAACACAAACAAACCGCAACGATGTGACAGGCACAGCACGCGATTTTTCTGCTTTTAGTATTATTATGTAACTGTTTGCATTTGAAAATGGCAAAAGGAATTCTTAAACGAAATTGCGGCGAATTCACCTTTTTGTTGAATTTTAATAATAATATTTTTTTTTTTTACAATTGACTTTATCAATTTCACTTTATTCCACTTTATTATATTCATTTATTTCTTATATTTTATTATTTGCTTGAGGAAATTTAAAATTTTCCCTTCGCTGCACCAGCACACTGTGGCTGCGGCTGCTGTTCACTTTCCTCTAGCTTCACTTCCGTTTATTGCACTACACTTTTAACACACTTTTATACTTCTATGTTTCTACCCTTCAGCGTGCACTATCACATATCGTCTGCTGCTTCACCGTCACACACCATTAAACTCCACTTAAAGCACTGCAATTTCGACCGTATTTAACAATGCGCACACCACTTCAAACCGCTTACTTCCAGAACCAGAGACAGAGCCCGAGCAGCAGTCAAACCGCAATCGAAGGCAATTTCAGTTTCAATTTGAATTTCAGTGCACAGGTCCACACATATGGTGACAACAGTATCAACAGTATTCCGCCTTGCCAATTGCCCGGGATGCTGTCGCCACGATGGACCATTTTTAACTGTATTTCATCGCCAACTCTGACCGTGCTTTTGTGTGCTGCGAGAGTACCAACTGTGGCAGCAACATCAGGAGCAGCAGACGCAATCGAAGCAGTTATTGGCACCTAAGCGTCAGCTGTTCAGCTGGCTAATATGCTGGTACTGTTGCTGAGAACGCCAGCATACGATAACAGCTGAGCCTTTTCAAATAAAACGTATCCGTTTGTTTGTTGCAGTCGCTGCTGACGTGGCCGCCGACGACGGTCGCGTTTGAACATGACAACACTTGACTGCGTGAAGCAACACCCATAACGGTGCTATGCAAAAATTTGTCTTCGAGAGCGTACACACCTTTTTGAAGGTGGAGTATTCGAAGAGAGCGCTTGGTTAGTTAGTTGAGAGAATTTCAATGTTGATATGCGTTATAGCGGCGTTGCCAGCTTTGTTTGTGTTTCAACTTTTATTCTTACAAATCGTGAGCGAAATTCGCCAAGTATTTAAGACTAGATCTGCCAATTATAAAAAAATAAGGTTACCTGCTGACCTAAAAAGGGTTAAGTTGCCGAAAGGGTGACAGCCCTTGACGGGATAAAATCCACATCAACTCCACTGCGTAGAACTGAATGTCGTGAGAGTTGACGCTTTGGATCTTATGCTATACTTTTCACTTAAAGCCTAGGCTACCAGATGCAGTGATAGTCACGGCTGAAGGAGACAAAGTTAACAGAGTGAAACCGGTCTAACATATTCGGTTTCATGGTTCGCGAAATTCTGTTCCTCGTATCAATATTTTATAAACTAAATAATGAGACAAGCTCGAGTCTGACTTTTAGACACACAATTTGAAACATAGTCCAATAAGGAGAAACAACAACCTCGGTTGACAGCTTAATTTGACGTCATGTACATACCTGCAATATCCCGTCTGTTATTTGAAGGGGTTCCGCTAACGAACTGCTTGATGTTCTGTCCCAATAACTAATGCTAGAGGGGACTGGCAAAACAGTCAGACATCTAAAACTCTGCTTGGGCTAAACTACTTTGCCTCGAACGAAATATGGTTATTTTTACTATATATAGATTTGAAGTTTAATACTGCTGAAGCGCTTGACCCTCCTTCAATTTGTATAATATCTTAGAATAAACATCAAGACGCATAGTTTATTCCAAGCTGTCTCCGAACGGCCGAAGGATTTCATTTCGATATAAGCGCAATTCACTAAATTCTAAACCAATTTTGAAAGCTTCTGTACGATTGCCCAGAGGAGTATGTTGGAAGTTCACTTTGCTGCAATAAACGTAAGTATGAGATCGGCAGGCATGATGCATCCCAAAATAGCGTGGCCCCTTTCTTATATCCAAAGAAATCGGTTGAAAGTAGGCTATATGATGTAGCGATCCGATTTAAATTATTTTCGTTGTAATTGTTTATTTGAGGAATATTTTGAAGGTAAAGAAAGAGGAACGTGAAATTATATAACGAAAACGAAAAAAATAAAAAAAAGGCAATCGCTTCTTCCCAATATTAACAGAGACACACGTAATAATATAGCTTTTAAATGTGACTTCACTTTTAAGACTATTAGAATGTTTAGAGTTTCTAAACGCCTTGCGATTATTCGCAACTCGACGCTAGCAATGTACCGTTGAAGAATAATGGGGAATTTCTATGAGTAAGTCGTCCATAAGCGGTTATATCTACCACAAAACAGATGCAATAAACCGTTTAATATTTTCTGCAAAGGTCAGAATTACCACGACCCATATGGGGCAATAATCCACGGGAAATTGTTTACTCCTCAGCGTCATCATTTGTTGGATACAGTATTGAGGCCATCGACTTCCCTCATGTGTCAATAATGAGCGCCAGATATCCTGAAGAAGCCTATGTCAACCACCAATTTTCATTTTATTTGTACCAATACGAAGGGCGGCTGGTAAGGTCGCAGTTAGAGATGACACATCATCTCGTTACTAACAGTACTAATAGAGGGACTCATTATTAGTATTATATACAATATATAACATAACTTTTTTTTACCAGGTTCATTAACATTTTGTTCCTGCAACGGAAACTGAAGCACCGCGCTGTGATTAAACTCCATTTTAAAAGGGTAAGTACACCTAAAGAAATTTTTAAAGATATAACATGAGTTCTTCCAGACTCTGCTCTTTCTTAAACGATGGCAAAAGAATGGGTTCGGCTATTCATTGAAGAAGAGAGACCAGTAAATATGACTTCCGCCCGGGGCGCCCGTGTAAATGTTCAGAAAGTCGAAAAATGAGTATTGGTCGATTGAAGAATGGAATTGTGGCAAATAGCAGAAGGATTACAGTTTAGCAAAGAATAAGCTTGTGAAATTCGGAGTCGAACATAAAAGGTGTGGTGAGTTCGCGTGAGTAGTGCTGCTTCTTCAAGACAACGGACCTGCTTACACCGCTGGGATTGCAAGGAATGCCTTAAAGGCGAATGAATTCACAGAAATCGGCAATCCACTCTATGAATTTATCCGTTTTTTAACTAAAAAAAGTAATTACGGGGACAAAAATTTTCAGACGATAGTGAGATAAAAGCAGTGGCAGGAAACATTTTGAAGATTTTGATTACTATAAAGGATTTGAATTCACGATGTGAAAACTGTATATCACTTGAGCGAGACTATATTGAAAAATAAAATTCGGATAACCTTTTAAAGAATTACACCACATTCATATACTTGAACTAAAAAATCTATGGAATATCGACACTGAATAGTATTTTCCTAAACAAAAATATGGCAACTACACAAGTGAAAAGCTATATTCTTTTCTTTCCGTCTCTGGGCGCCGTAGTGAGCCAAGGCGCATGATCAACACTTTCACTCTCAGCACAAAATTTCGAACTCGAATTCCTTAACAGTTACGCTGTCCAACTTGCCAATACAAAATGCAAAGTCAAAATAGAATTATACCAACCACAAAGTTAGGTAGACGTATGCGGCAGCGAGTTGAGAAGGCATTACGTAGAAAGAACAATGTCCACACATGTAGCACTCCTACTAATACATACACACATACATACGTACACATTCATAAATTCACAACTTCATACATACATATATGCATACATACATACATACATGCATACATATATGGAATCACATAAATTCAATGAAAATATAGCGGATGTCAAGTAGCTTGGTAGTTGGTAGTTGGTTGAAGTAGAAGTAAAAGAAGAATTGAAAGAAAGCGCAAACTGTAAAGTGGAGTAAAAGGCAAAAGTAGAGAATAAACTTTAAGGAAGTGACGACACTGAAAGGCAAAAGCAAAGCTATGTTTGCGCTGATGTTAAGCACTCAAGGCAATATTGGTATGCAACAGCTAAGTAGGGAGAATTCCATAATGTTAATGCATACATACATACATATATACAACACAACACAACATACATATTTATTGTACTGAAATTCCTAACAAGAACAACAAAGAGTAATATAATGGGAAATAAACATACTTACATACATATTTCGATTCATGTGCGACCCTCTGGCTAGCGTAAATTAACACAATGACACGCTAGAGAATCTTAAGCCTGTATGTACGTATGTATATATGTATATATTCGCATTTATGTACAGCTATATGAGTTCATACATATTATATAATATAACAGTATAGCGGTTAGTTAGAGATTATGGGCAATTCATGTAATCAACTTGACAGCTGGAGAGTGTAGAGTAAAGTGTTGAAGTGTAATGGAGCCAATCGCTTGGCGCGGACCGATATGCACTATACTTGTGTCTGTCCTAGAGTTTTGTTGTTGCTGTTGTTGTCATACACAATTATTTGTGTCAAAATGAAGTTTGTTGAAAAAGCATTTGTCATTATTACATTCATACATATTATTGTATATGTATGTATACATTTTGTAATGTAAGTCAGTATCTTAAGGAAAAGGTGGAAATTAAACTTTAAAGTTAGCACAGCCCAGATATAATAGCTTAACTTAGTGATTGGGGAAAACCCTACAGCAGCCTCATTCCCTTG